AGACAAAGAAACCTAAGATATCAGAGGGGTCAATAAAAGAAATTGGAAATTCATTTCTTTGTAACATATATTTCAAATTTTTAAGTTCTGTATGAAAATCAGGAATTATTAGCCACATTTTAAGCATGATGTATATTTTCATATCTTAATATGTGGCCCACATATTAAGATATGAAAATATACATCATGCTTAAAATGTGGCTAATAATTCCTGATTTTCATACAGAACTTAAAAATTTGAAATATATGTTACAAAGAAATGAATTTCCAATTTCTTTTATTGACCCCTCTGATATCTTAGGTTTCTTTGTCTAAATTGTGAAAAGAAAAGTTAAACATTTTTGCAAAGAGTGTTTCTATAGATAAAATTATATTATGTGTTAAATCTCAGCTTCAGGTGAAAATTTTATTTAAAGTGAAAAATAGGATGACTCCTCTTCAGAGTTTAATAATTATTTATCTGTCCTTGTTGAGATAGCTAAAGTAAGATGTAGACAATGTGTTCAACAAGTTATCAGCATATAAGAGGACTATGGCACAATTTCTTCTAATTCTGATATGATACTATAGTTTTATTAAAACAAAAAGGTTTATAGCATCTTAAGTGAAAATATAAACCAGTATGGGGAAGTTTATGCTAAGCAAAAGCTGAAAAAAGCTGAATGTATAATATTTAAATCCAAAAACAGGAAAACAAAAAGTCTTCCTGCTCTTTAATTGTAAACTTACTATGTAAATGATGAATATTAAAATATTCCACAACAGCATTCACGTATTACATTTAGATAACTACTTATATCTAATTGAACAAGACATTCACTGTTTGCATAAAAACAAGATTTATTTCTTCTAACAAAAAAATGACCTGTAATTCTAGATAAATTTGAAATTATATTTTTGACTGAAGAATTGGAATTTTAAGCTTTTCTCAGAAGTTCCACTCTCAATGAAAAACACAAAAAATAAACAGTTACACCTTACCAACAAATTGAATATATTAATGTTATAATTTATGTTATAAAGTACTCTAGTTAAGAATAAGAGTATGAAAAAATAGTGATTAGTAGCATTTCAGACAATTTTGGATCTGAAATAACAGAAAAGCAACAAAATCTTTCCCTTTCTACTACCCTACAAAAAATCATATTTTACATTCTGTTATTAGGAAAATGTTATCCAGCATATATTCCATTGTTACAATAGAAAACACTTTCTCTTTAAGTAAGTTACTGCTAAACACCTTTAAATCTTGAAGAACCTTCAGATGTTTTGCTGTCGACAAATGATGACATGATGTTGGTAGTATCACTCTGTCTACGATAATGTCCTGTGCCACTGAGTGGTCTGTGCTGTTCCTTCAATTGGTGGAAGCTACGAGCTATCATAGCAGCAAGCTCTTTCTGTAATACAGTTAATATGGTGGTTACAAGCTACTACAAATATATTTTCTTAACCTTACAATGAAAGAATCAAACTTACTTCTTTTTTATTTCAATACAGAAAGTTATACCATTATATGGTCTCATCATACTAATAAGCTAATATTTTTTTACTATAATTCTAGCAACTGATTCAGTGCAAGATATTGCATAAACTATACATATAAAGGTGCTATAGATGCTTAAAAGCAACATTAATACTTCCAAAAAAAGGCTGAGAAGAGATTGATTAACCCAACAACTCACATATTTTACAAATTTATTACGTGAAACAAAACAATACAGCCTAGAGTTATTTCAAAATGTTTATTAGAATATTATTTGCAATTATTCAGAATAATTCACACATGACACAAAAAAGACTCAACGTAGGAACATCAAAGTATGTATCTTATGCAGCTGTGATTCTTATAGTGGTTGGAACATATCACTTTCCACACCATTGTGGGACTATTTGTTGTAATGGGCAAATACAGTACACTACGGTTATATTTGATTATTACACAAAGCAAAATAATAACATTTTTGAAATAAAAATCCTTTGTAAAGTTTTTAATTCATGTATTTAAATATACAGTTAGAGTAATTCAAGTCTAAAGTATTTGAACAATGAAGTTTTATAACGCATTGCAAAAAGTTTTTAAGTTAATTAACAATCACGAAAATTAATACAAAAGCTGACTGGTGCACATGGGTTTTTGTAATTCAGATATCGCTCCCTTTTAAAACACCCACTTTTATTTTTTCTCAACAGAGGTGTGGAATCTAAGATAATGTTGTCTATGGGACAAAATTTAGAAACATCCAATTTTCTTTCTTAAAACTTTTCTTAAACCCATCACTATTCAAAAAAACACAGAGAAGTAGGACAGCACTTTTAGGATTTTCTTCTATTGAAGAGTGAAAAAAAGCATGAAAAAAGGTGTTCTACACAGATTATTTTTGTAAATTTAGTAAAATGACAACATGTAAATATGTTTATAAAAAAAGTGTTTGGTTCATAAGATACAAAACATTGAAAAAGTGATATTTTGTCTATTATTCTCTGTCTCTTGCCAGTTAACAGATTTTTATATAGTACAAAATGGATAAACCAAATGTATGCGAATATTGTTACGTATCTGCTTGTTTGTTAATTTCTGGTAGAAATTCTTTCCGAGGAACTTCATCAATACAAGTCCTTTTTTAATTAAACCAGTTTATTCTCTCTCTCGATACAAACTTTTAGTACACAGTAATTCCACACTCAGTACGTTTCTCATCACTTTAAACTTAACAACTTTTATATTACATGCTATAAATCACAGTGATTCACAATCTCGAGACTTCACTCTCTATGAGTGTAAAACACAAACTAGCTCAAAACAAAATCGTACATTACCAAAAGCCCACCGTAACTACTGTTCGCTTGTTTTATACATTCCCGCTGGGTTTCTCTACCAGGCTTATATACTAACAAAGAGGGCTTCATGATCACACTCAAACTTCCCCGATAATACAAGAAACTCAATAATGCATGCACCAACAGCAACACATGACTCCTGCTGTCGTAACACGGCCCCTTCCTTAGTATTGTTCGTCCCGAACAATAGCCACTTACATTAAACCAATAGATAATTAAC